ATGTAAGTACTATACACCTTCAAGGCGCTCAGTAATGGATGATTTAATTACACACCCACTTATATTTATTATTCTACCACTGCACTATGCTGTACCTGGTCTCGTCCTCGACTGCCGGAGGAACAGAGCATTTCCGTCGTTTGGCTCCTAAGTTGGAACGGCCTGGGGCCGCGCTCAAGCAGCTCCTACCCAACCTGGGGGGGCCAAACGCCTCCTGCCGGAGGTTGTATATGGGGATTGTGCGATCCATGGCCCTATACGGGGCCCCTGTGTGGGCGCCAGACTTGAGGCGGCGGCCAGCTCGTACGCTGGTCGCGTCCCAGAGGGTCATGGCTATTCGGATAATCTGTGGATATCGCACGATCTCCGGGGAGGCGGCGAACCTCCTTGCCGGATCACCGCCGTTGGATCTGGAAGCGAAGGCGCTCGCGCGCGTCTACAGTTTGCGCGCAGTCGCGCGTCGCCGGGGCGAGGATCCTCTGCCGCGCCCAATTAGTGCGTGGCGGAATGACCTCCGGCGAGATCTCATGGCTGAGTGGAAGCAGCGACTGTCGCAACCAAGGGCCGGGCACGCTATTATAGCAGCGGTAAGACCCCTCTTTGAGGAGTGGCTTGAGAAAGGCCACGGCGTCCTCACCTTCCGCCTGACGCAGGTGCTTACCGGGCACGGCAGCTTCGGTAGGTTTCTTTAACAACACTTTGTGTGATGATTGAATGATAGAATTATTTTAACAACTCGAAATAAAAATCACCACTCCCAGGCTTTTTCATAGTGAGCCCACCATAAACGTACACAATGCGTTTTATAATCTACTAGCTTCTTCCCGCAACTTTGTTCGCGTGTAAAAGTGACTTCCTGCAGATTTTTGGCTTCCTATGCCCTTTTTCGAGTTCCAAACTATGTCTGTGCCAAATTTCACAGAAATCGGTTCAGTAGTTTAGGCGTGAAGAAAAGACAGACAGACAGTTACTTTCGAATTTATAATATTAGTTTGGATTGGACTTGATCTGTAGACTGGCAGTAATGCCTCCAACATAGAATAAAGACATGTGTCATCAAGCAATGTCAACAATCAGTTGTTGAATGAAACCGACCATGTTGTTTAAACAACTACAACGTTTTAGCTTTCGTTGCCTTATCTTTATTGACGATCACGATTGAGGCGAAGACAAAAACTCAAAGGCTTGTAACCAATGATATTTATTAAGTAAAAAGTTGTAGATAGGTCATACGCGCAAGTGATACATTAAAATGTGGCTAACTAGCCATACTATTCCATATTTGTCTCTTTTTCACTCGCGATTATTCAATCATGCCATCCCACTTTGACGTCTAATCATACGAATTGTTCATGTGTGCATCAGTGTGCCGTTATTGAAAATCGAATTTTGTTTAGGTAACCTATCTACACCATTTTACTTATAATATCATTGCTTGTAACGGATTCCATAACATTCCCAATTTTCCCAACTTGTGAGCTTAATGTTTCGGGTGTGAAAGGGCGATACCGATTGCTTACCATCAGGCGATCTTTCTGTTTGGTTTTCGAGGCTCTACGCCATATTAATTTGGACATAATAAGCATGCCGTATTTTGAATAAAATATGCAGTTTTATAATATACAAATAAAAATATAAAATTAATTATGAAGGTTTTGCAAAATGGTCTAACGACTTCTCTGACATATAAACATATCTCTAACATAAGGAGTATAAAACTCTGACCGGCTAAAAGCTACCCCGTACCTTATCCTGCTTCGGGTTGGAGTCGCGGCACATTGTTGCGCTTGTTCCCGCAAGGCTGGATATTTATTTATCAGGATTCAAGGTTTACAACCAAACAAAACTATTTTAATCTTTAAATCGTGGTAATTTGATGAATTAATATAGGTACATAGTTATATCTAAAACTGGATGTCAGCTATTAAATTTGCTTACGGCCTCGAAAGTTCGTGGTCTTGTCATGACTGATAATGTCATTTTAGATCAGTTGTATTTGTATAGTTTGTAATTAGGTAAGTTTAGTTGTTTTAGTTCACTAAACACACTTATTTTGGCTTAGTTTTTAATAGAATTTCTAGGCATGTCTGGGTAATATGGCCTTGTTTATCGAGAGTTCGCAAGCCGCATTGACCGCACGTGATTCTTGGCCTCGGACCGCGCGACCGGTCAGATTCAGTTTACGGGATTAACGATATCTGTTTTTCAAAATAGTAGTGCGGTGCATGGAATTATGGCTAGCACATTGAAATAAATCAAAGTTCCTTCAGTTCAGTTCATTTATTCCAACTGAACCATTAATAGGTAGGTACGTACTTTTGAAACGTCAATATAGAATAGTAGTCAAGCTCATCCCTTAAAACACCAGAACACAATATTTTTTTTTAGTTTGGCTTTAGATTATGGCTTATTTATTTATTTATATACGTACCACACATTAAATTACACACTGAAATGTATGTATATAGTTGTAATTATAATTATATAGGTCTTACCTATATAATTATTTATATTAGAAATTCATTCTACAGACCTATGACAAAAAAGTAAGTAATAAGTATATGTTATAAGTAGGTAATAAAGTATTTATGTTTTAGTACTTCCCTAATTTTATATTTCATGTACAGATTTGACCTCTCTAGAGATTTATTATAAGTACCTAATATTATTTTATGTTTATGTCATTATTTATTATAATGTATTGCTGTAAGCTTTCCTCAAAATTCTGTGTTTATTTTATTTTAATCCAAATTAATGCGAAAGTAACTCTGTCTGACAGGTTTGGATAAAATTTAGTACAGACATAGTTTGAAACTGTAGAAAGGACATAGGCTAGTTTTTATCCCGGGAATTCAAAATAAGAATTTCCCGAAAAACCTATGAGATCGTGAACTATGTGGGTAAAACAAAAATACTGCCAGAAGTCACTATTCCACACGGATGAAGTCGCAGGCAGAATCTAGTAGGTACATGAACATACATAATATGTAAATTAACATGCCTGTGCTTCAGGAGGTAAGTTTCTCACACTCGTCTGTTAAAAACAGACAAAAATTTCGAGTCTATCGCCTTTTAAGATATTGGAAATCTATATATCTATATATAGGTATATCATATATATATATTCAAAACTGCCTCTCTGAGTATAGACTCAGAGAGGCAGTTTTGAATATGCATAATACTTAGTATATTTACCTACTAAATAAATTATAACTTTTACAAACATAGAAGCGTTTCAAGGTTTCTATGAATATAATATCTTCTTTAATATTATCACTGCAAAACAGACGTAATGTTGTCTTATGCTAATTCTTATGAATGGAAATTTATTATTTAATGTTAAACTGGGTGATGGTCAACTTCATTTAGTTGTAACCTCATACATTATTAGGAGGTACGCCATTTAATCGCTTAATAAGTGTCAGTTTTAGTCACAAAGAGTTGTATTTCATATAAATCTGTATTACAATAAGTTGTGGGAGTGTCAGACTCTTACTGACTAAAACTCCCCTGTTCCTTCTCCTGCTCTGGGCCGAGGTCGCGGTGCCTCATTGCGCTTACCCCGCAACCCCGGCTGATGTCTGGTATGGTTATGATATGACATTGACATTAACAAATCTTTCCGGTTATAAGGATTGGGAAGGGATAGGGGAAGGGGCGGGATTGGGCCTCCGGTAACCTCATGCACGGCGAAACACAACGCTGTGGTTGTTTCAAGATGGTACTTAAGGGGATCAGACACCATTGACAAACGGCGAAGAAAAACATCGTGAGAAAACTTATAGTTATTATTTATATTTTTAAATTTATATTGCTTTGAGCAAGCGGGGCGGTCAATGTGCAATCTTTCTCTATGTAAGATGAGACCTTTGCTCAGCACTAGGCAATTAAGGCATCTAAATGTTGACTGAAAATTAACACTTAAACACAATGAATCTAGCATAAATTAATTGTTTATCGAATAAAATTGTTACAAAAATTTATAATTGATCAATTTATTGCAGCCAATGTTTTGAAAAAATATCGTCTTGTTGTACTACGAATAGATTATAATATTGTTTTTTCCAACACTAAATTAAATCATTTTGCCCTTCAACTGAATGACGATATTGTATGAGTAAATATAAAATGTAGCTGCGACCAGCCTCGAACCTTTGCCTCTAAGTTGATTTATGCTACCTTGAATTAAAAAATCTAAATATAAAGCGAACTTCACACGATATTTTTTTAAACGGATGATTTTTTTTAAATATAAATATCGTTGTTCTATCTTTATAATGTTATATTGGAATAGAATTTGTGAGATATAATAAATTTACTCAAAATAGCAACTGACACTGACGGACGTCAGCTGCGCTGCCCATGAATTAGAGTCCCATTGTGAGTTGAAACTAGTAGAGCCTTTCTCAGTTAATTCACGTGGGTAAATCAGTTTTTTTTTGTAAATTTATAATTGTACTGAAACACAAAATGTGTAGCCTGAATTTATATTTTAAAACAGTCTGTTGGGAATAGTTTTTATATATGCGTATCTCGAGATGTTTTATTTCCTTTGGTTGCCTTATAAATTACGCTACGACCGCGCGGTTTCGATGTAGCGTAATGAATTTGTATAGCCTATTCTGTATGCCTTTCTAGACATATGTATTATCCAATACAAAAAGAATATTCCATTCCAATTTGAACCAGTACTTCTGGAGATTTGTGAGTTCAAACAAACTAAAAAATCTTTGTAATATGAGTATTAGTAATTTAAACAAAAAAATTATCATCGTAACACTTATTCATATAGGCAAAGCCAATTATTTATTAATTTATATTTCTTTAATATATCTACTTTATATATAACGAGACATTAAAAGAACATGAGTTTACCTACTGCATGTAAAATTAGAATGAATAAATGTCGCTAACGAACAAAAAATCGCAGCGACTTGTGAAGTTTGTGTGAAGTACCTCTTACTTTCAAATGCGTTCTCAGTGTACATAATTATGATATCGTCTGTGTAAGGTAACATTCAAGAGCGGTTCAACTAGCTAATGTTCGAATTGCAAACATTTTTGTTTTGATTCAGAATAGCTCTTGACTCGGTGTGCTGTGGGTGTCCTTTGTGTTCTGTATATTAAATAACGATTAATAATAATTTATATTAATAAAATTACATTATATAATAATTATTTACTTCAGTTTCAAAGTGATTGTGTGAATTATTTAAATTATAAGTGCAGTAGTAAGTAGTCCACAAAACTCTTGATAGCTAAATAAATATTCAATAGGTACTATTTCAAATATCGAATACTTATGAACAGATTTTTATATTTTTTTACGGGAATGTTTATTGTGACTTTGTGTTTTTGTGCATATATAAATAAAGTGTAATTATCGTAAAATCAATTAATAAAATAAGTGTGTGCGTGTGTGGGTGTGTGTGTGTTTTAATAGTAAAGTTCAAATTGTTAATGACAAAGTTCTGTTCTGTTTTATTAGATACCAGTTTTGCCCGCGACTCCGTTCGCGTGGAATAGTGACTTTCTACAGATTTTTAGTATAAAAACTATCCTATGTCCTTTATTAAGTCTCAAACTATGTCTGTACCAAATTTCACAGAAATCGGTTCAATAGTTTAGGCGTGAAGAAAGGACAGACAGGCAAACAGAGTTACTTTCGCATTGATAATTTTTGTATGGATAATAATACTTGTTTAACTTTAATTATTTAAGTACTTTGTATCTGCACTGCATTATTATCTATATACTCGTCATCAAGAGTAGGTACTACATTGAAGTATTACTGGAATTATGTAACACACACACACACACACACACATTCAAAATGCCATTGTTTCACGACTAATAAAATCTATGTTATTTACTAGGGTAACTGCGTTGAAGGATCGACGTTATCGTGGTATTCAGAGATCGTGTATCGTTAAATATCATCGTTAAATTCAGAGAATGTTCGAAGTAAGAGATAAGGTATTTTTCGTGACCGGCGCAGCCGCGGGCATTGGTGCCGGCATTGTTAAGGCGTTTTTGGAAGAAGGAGCAAAAGTAAGTACCTACAGTCTTGTAATCATTTTATTTCATCATAGATATTATTCAAGATTGTAATATACCTCCGTGCCATATTTAATTCGGATATCAGCAGTAGTTCCTATTTGAAGGAGTCGAAAATATCCAAATATCCGAAAATATCGCGAAAGTTTGTATGTGATACTTACATACAAACTTTCGCGTTACTAATACCATCAGGTATTAGGATAAATGGACCTGAATCTTTCGATGTATAGTGCATAATGTATAAAATACGTAAGCACACAAGAACAGAAGCCCCTACTTCCTTCCACGATCCATTATATTTGCAAAACTCTGAATCGCAATTTCAAAATTTCAAGTCGCTAATTTTTCCATAGCCAAAAGGCTGGCAATGAACTATTGTAACTCTTTTGATGCGAGTGTTCATGGGCAACGCTGATTATTGGTTATCAATCTGATCGGTAGTCACCTACCGTAACAATAAAAAAAAAACAGATTTCTAATATTTTAATGTGCACCATGTGGCTATAAATATGCATCTAGTTTATTAGTAAGTGTGGGAGAGCCAATACTTCGGTGCGAATGGATTAGCTCGACCGGAGTGATACCACGGCCGCACAGAAAACCGGTATGAAACAACCACAGCGTTATGTTTCGCCGAGTGAGTAAGGTTACAGGAGGGCTAATCCTTACCCTCCCCAATTAGACGTGCCCCAATCACTAAATTTCCTAATTCCTAATCCCCGAAAAGGTCGGCAATGCACTCATAACTCCTCTGTTGTTGTTAAGCGCAATGAGGCACCGCGACCTCAAGGGGAATCAACCGTTGTGGGCACGATGGGCATGCCCACAACCTTATTACACTTGTGATTGAAATAGATTTGGATCGAAACTGACTTTTAGAAATTAGAAGAAATCGTGTCCGACTTCTTCCTAAGTTTATTTACATTCCTAAGGCCAAAGTTCTGATGCTCGGAAAAAAGGAAATCTAATTCATAAGTTCATAAACGATTTGCATGATTGTTAATGAGCATGTCCATGCTCCGACTCGTACTTAGCCGATTTTCTAGTAGCTGTGACCACAACCTTTTTTGAAGGCTGGATCCGCTCTTGCGCGACCTCGGCTCGGAACAGAAGTAGGAACGGGGGGTTTTAGTCAGAGAGTCTGACACTCCCTTCCGCCCGACCCTGGCCGGGAGAAGTCATTTAATGATTTTCCAAAAAAACCTCTGATTGCTTACCATCGGGTAATCTGTCTGCTCGTTTTTAATAAGACGGCTATTACATAAAAAAGTCAACTACTGGTCTATAAAAAAATAAACATTTGAATTTATTATAAACTTCTTTCTTCTTTCCAGCACGTAGCAGCACTAGATGTTGACATAAACAATGGCAACGCTTTAGAAAAAGAACTGAGAGAAAGATATGGAAACGATAAAATCAAGTTTTACAAATGTGACGTCACATCAGGCGAGTTAGATGCAGTTTATGATAAAGTACTTAATGACTTCGAGTATATTGATGTTGTCATTAATTGTGCTGGTATAATGAATGATAGACCTAATGTGTATTTGAAAGAGATTGATATTAATGTGGTAAGTATTTTTTATAATATAATATTATTATGACCTGAAGAGTTACTACACAACAGTTGTGATTAGGCTGTCAAAAAGGAAAATAAAATAATTTAACAATTTCAAAAATTTCTTGTTCAGACTGTGGGCTTAGTTGACATATAAAACAATTAAGGAATAATAAATTCAAATTCCTTTTAGGTACCTATTGTGTTGTAAGGAAAATATTAGTTTGTGACAAACGAAACTTCTAGGTATTTAAAGCAAACAGTCATTTAGGTGCTGTACTTTTTGACAGAATTCAAACAAATCTAAATCTTTTCCCTATTCGTGTTGTTTTAGTTGAACATTTCCTGTTTGTATTGGTATTTCTATGTAGAAAGCCCTTTGATAATATAATTCCATTTCTTTAAAAATAAATTTTGAATCTTTAATTAGGTTAAATATAACTTGTCATGTCATAACAGTTTTAGGGCTGACTTTTCAATGGTTAGATAATGTTTGTATAAGACAGCGAACAACAATTTTATTCCTCAGATAACATTTATCTTTGGATATGATTTTAATGTCAGCAAACAAATTTGTATTAATATTTATTTTGCAGACTGCCTTAATAAGAAGTTCTTTCAAAGCATTCGATTTAATGCGTGAAGACCAGGGTGGAAGAGGTGGCACGATCATAAATATTTCTTCAATTGTGGGATTGTTCCAAGCACATCTTCTTCCAGTGTATACCGCTACAAAGAGTGCAGTGCTGCAGTTCAGCAATTGTCTTGGAGTAAGTTTTGATTGATTTTATGGGATAGATCAACTCGCAACACCACATGAGATGTGTGAAACAAGGGGCCGTGTCAGCCGTGTCGCGCCAAAGAATTGCTCAAGCTTCATTGATGACGAAAATCATGATAGACCAAACTAAAAAAAAAACATACTCAGTCAGAGTCATTGGATACGAAATATTTATTTAAGAATTTCTAAGATTTTCCTTGGACATTTTTGGTTTTGGCACTTTTGGCAATCGTTCTCTTACATATTGTACACCCACGATTGAGGCAGAAGCTGCTTAACCCAGCCCTTAGCAAATGTTTTCAAACAAAAACATTACTAGGGAATAGTGTAAGTAGTCGTTAAAATTTATGAGTGTAGCGGTGACCAAACATTTACAAATTAGGGCCAGTTATCCTATTTAAGTGATTACCAAATTGATAAACTAATTGGTACCTTAATCGATGGATCAATGATAGCGTCAAACAATAGTCTTATTAATAACATAAAAGAAATACAAGTCTTTGAATTAATAAAAGAAAAATACACTTAGAAAAAAGTATAATGGCCTTATCGAGAATAGGTAATATTTATTTGAATTAAGGAACAGAGAGTAAAGTTCCCTAAGATCGGAAATATCTCTTGTGTATTGTTGTTACTATGTGCATTAATCTCGTTGTTTTCATTTTCCTCTATCAGACGACTGAAGAAGTTAGGATAGGAATATCAAACTCTTTTCTCTTTTACATAATCTGTCTCAAAATTTGCCATTGCGCCACGAAATAACTTTTAATAAGATTGCGAAGAAGATAATTTGCCAAAGTATTTTGTGATTACCTATTTATGTTGCATTTTCCATTTCAGAAAGAGCCACATTACACACGGTCTGGAGTCCGAGTACTCACAATATGTTTTGGGTGTACTGACACAAGTTTATTCAGTGCCTCCAAAATGGGAGGTTTCGATAAAGCAACTGACGAATTACTCTTCAAGAGTTTAGGAGGATTACCGATGCAAACGTAAGTTCTATAATTAATCAAATAAAATAAATGCGTTCTGACAACGTTCAACACCGTCACTCGCCAGCGGGAGTTGCAATCCTAGTTGAAAGATATAATATGTACTCATATAATCCTTTAATCGATAGAGATTCATAAAAAAAAACTGATAAATAATTTTGTTTTGGGCATTTTACAATAGGTGACTTACTATTTTACTGCAGTAAAAAAATTACACATCATTTGGGTTTCACCAGTGGTTTTTGCAGAGTCTTAAATCTAGAAGCAAGATGAATAAAAAACATAATAACTTGCTTCTTATATGATTGCGGTATGTAAGTGATTGCTTAATATTTTATGAACGTTTCTTTAACGTATGCCAAATATTATACACTACATTATATAGTACATAATTGTAGCTTTGATCAATAAATTCAGTAGCATAAACATTCGAAATTCGCCACCATCATCATCAGTATTTTTGCACCCATGGTTTGCCAAAGGCCTTTGCAATAGCATGCCAAAGGTGTACGAACATAGATTTTCAATTCTTCCAGGATTCAATCAGCTGTGGACGGCCTGGTCCACGCTTACAAGCATGGTGCAAGCGCCAGCACCTGGCTGATCACATCAAACAGGCCTGCTGAAGATATCACCAACAACGTTTCCGTAGGATACGAGGTGATGAGCCAAGGAGTATTTAGTTAAACCCTGATTAGTCTTTTTTATCAAAGGCTATATAGTTCAATAAGGCTATAGATAATAAATGTAATAATACATAACTATTTTGATTTATATATAACATTTTATGGTGAAGACTAAAATAAATAAAGAAAATCAGATAACGTATTGTTTCGAGCTCAACTCAATACCTAAATGCATACTGGAGTATGTGTTTAAAATGATATGAATGATGATTTAGTTGTACAAGCTTATAGAGACTTAAACAATAGAAAAGTTAATGATAATATGTATTGCGATTATTTTATTGATATGACGTTTGTTGAATGAGGTTTATGGTAGCTCTGGTGTTGCAGTTGTATTTGAGGCGACGAACGCTGCTATTTTATTTCTCTTGTTTTATTCTTAGGCATTGTCCCACACTAGGATTTTCTACTGGGTCGTGGATGCGTTCACAAACATTTATCACATAAAGACTTGTGTGTTAGTTCCCTGCGGGAATCGAGCCCAGGACACGTTACAGTCGGTTACCCAGCCAATGTGTCAGCCTTAGAGGTTACTATATAATATTTTTATTTTGGAGATTTTTTTTTACTTATGTCCATACTTTAAGATTTTCTCCTTGATGTCGTGGGGGCTTTTACAAACATACAATTTCCCATATGTAAGTACTGACCTGTATTCTGAGGTACTGACGTATGACATCCAGAACAACAATTCGTGGAGCGGACAAACTGTTATTCCGCTTGGGAACCGAACCGCTATCATTGCGCGGCAGCCGGTTGCCCCGTCATAGCGCCAACCAAAGTGAAGTCAACATGTCAGTTATGCTATGCTGGACCGTAGGTTTTGTTGTTTCCAAAACAAAAATATAAGGAAAAGGGAAATGTCCAAACAGTTTCGTGCTTAATCGGGGTCATAAGCTATTTCTTGTGGACAAATAGTAATAAATTGATATCTTTCGTCAGCGGTAGTGTCAGACTCTACTGACTAAAAACCTCCCCGTTCCTTCTCCTGCTACAGGCCGAGGTTGCAGTATTTTATTGCGACCATCTTAAATCGGAGTCATAAGTTGATGCGACGTTGCATAACATTATCTAATTCTATACTTATGTAGTGTCTTTTGATAGTTATTACACAAAAAATGAGTAAAATGACCCTCAAAATGTCGATCAAACTATGTCAAGGTTTATTGGAATAGAATCAAATTGTACGCCACTCATATTTATACAGTTTGAATGAATAATTCAACCTTATGTAAATTGTATGTACATTAACTAGTTAATTGGAACGCAATGCTTATAAATATAAGTAACATTTATTAGTAAACATAGTGTCGACATAATACCTACTTACAGATTTAATATGTATTTTTGTGAAGTGGTACCATTTTATAATATTTTTTAAGCCTGATCTTTAACCTATCGAGATGATTGTCTGTGTAGGCAATTCATTTGCATGATTAGAAATGATTAGCTGTATGAAATTGTCCTAAATGTATAAAAATCTAAAGTCCACGGATTTATAGAAGGACTGATCGAAGTTTTTTTTTCATTCTGGGTGATTTTATTCTGTTACTCGTCTACGTTAAAATGACTTCGCACTTCTACCACAAAAAGGTTCATTAGCAAAATTATATTATTTGTATATTATTATTGTTTAGATTCGAGCACATTAGCACGCTTAATTATAAAAGTAATAAATAGCGTATGACAGGAGCCATGGGAAATATTTTACGCGTTCATTACCTTTTTGGAAATAGAAATCATTACGTTTTGGCTTAAAATTGTGAAAAGACTACAATAAATGTGTCCTGATTTTTATTGCCATTTAGTTAGTTTCAAGTTACAATATGAATTACTGTAGCTGAAAAGTAAGTACCTAGTAGTTAGATAAGATAATATACCTATATATTTTATTTAGCTTTTAAAATAACTACATATATTCACCAATAATAACAATTTTAATAATTAGGATATGAATAGTAATAATAATTTATTTAAAACAATTGAAATATCTTGACTTGGCTCACGAGGTTGTTGACATGTGGACTCGGCTATCATCGTGCCGATAGTTCTGTCGGCAAATGGTGTCCCCAAAAGCCTCGACAACCACCTTAAGAGGCTGATGTAGGCGGATGGATCAAGGGCATCATACAGAAGGCTGTCCTCCTTGGAACGGCACGTATTGTGAGGAGATTTCTGTCTCTAGAGCCCTAACCTTTTTAGATATTATTTTATTGGATTTTTATAGTAATATTTAAAAATGTAATTGTAGAGTTATTAAAATAAATATGTATAAAAATAACTTATTTATATATATGGCACTTAATCGAAGTATATAGTAAAAGCAATACTAAAAATCTATCGGCAAATAACTATCAAAATAACTAATAAAAACATAAAACATGTTAGCTTCTTTTTTGAATTTGTTGTATCTTAAATTAGTTTACGATGATATTTTACATGACTTCTAGCAGCTACAACTAGCCATTCTTGGTCAGCCAGCATTCGCTATATAAACTGCACAGTCATTATCATGCCATTAGATATCTATTGCTGAATGAGTGCTGAAGATATTCCTCTCCCAAAGATCCGTGTGAACAGAGGCGATTCCTCAGCAGAGGGTATACATACTAAGTATAAATATATGTAGGTAGATATATTTCATATGCTAGTGATGATATGAAGCTTTCGAGATCACTTGGTACGATACGATACTGATGCGTCCATTATTGTAGGGTATAAAAGCTGGCTGGAGTTTTATAAAAGGAGTTAGAATAAAACCAAAAAATCATGCAGTAAATACTTTTATTTTTAAAAACCTCTTATTATCATCATAACTCTTCGTAATCATTGTTTTGAACGTGAAATTTTATGTAACTCTGCTTATTACAGCTATTATCCATCATTATTGTCTTCCAGGATAATACCTGATTCTGTTTAATTATTATCCGTATTCAATTATCGTATCTGATATGGCGTAACGTATTGGAGGAAAAGAAAACCGGAGTTCTCATTTACATTATGGAAGACGATACAAACGTTCTACTCCATTTTGCCTAATAAAACCTTAAAATTACAATTATCTAAATATAAATTATTAAACGTATCATAAAAACAATAATAATGACAGCAATATTTAAGGTACCTAATTTCTAACGACTTGACGCGCCGACTGCCGCCATTTTGACTCATTAAACGTCTTAAAAAGGCGCGAAATTGTATAGATAATAATTTATTGAGCTGCCATCTTAAATTACTCGTACTACAGTAAATTTATTAAATATTCGAAATAAGGTCATAAACAATTTCAAATAATTTTCTCAAATAACTTAATAATGATCAATATTTTTAATTTATTTTTCTTGTCAGAATAAACGAGTTATTCAGCTTCTCTTTGGTAAATAAACATTTTTATTTTCACTCTGTTCAAATTATTAAATTACCTAGATTTTCGCTAATAGTTAACGCGATATAATAAACTTTAATAATTTCCTTGGGAAACAAACATATTATATCACTTCAATACATTTCTAAGATATGAATAGTTATTTTTTAAGATTTTATTTACATCGCATTTTATTCAATTAGGATATTATATATACTATTATTTTTGATGTTCTACAATATTAAAATTCTTCGAATGTTTTTTTTAATAGGAATATTATTTAATATATTATTTCTCAGTTATTTCATAAAGCTTCTGATAAAGATTTGTTTATTGTTAGTTCTAACGTCCACTGTTGGGCGGCAAACTAAATAAAAAAATGAAAAAATCGACCAAAAGAAAAATAAGATTACATTCATTAGTCTATAACATTTTGCTAATTTTCGTAAATTGAACATGAATATTTTTATAAAAATGGCAGTTTTATATCACGTATACGAATTTAGAGTAACGTTTAGAATACAGGTCAACGTTTATTCGATTCTTTCAATCAATAAATTAGTAGAAATTATTGCCGCGAATTTATTTAACACGATCTTTATTACGAAAATGATACACGAACATGTATATTTTATTATTTATATTATTTTTTAAATTTAATATTTCTACTTAACTACTTTTATACACGCACATATTTAGACAACCTCGGCTTAAAAATAGAACTGTCAATTTTTTTCAATTATGAAATAAAGTTCATACATTATTATATACGACATTAATTTCTTGTCATCGTGTCCAAAATCCCAACAATCGACAAAATCACAGTTCTATTTTATTTATTTCTTTAACACCAAGCGTTGTAATCAATTAAATATTCGTGTATCATTTTTGTATTAAGACCTCAATATACCTAAATAACGATTTAACAAACCTTGAGTAAGAGACACTACAAATATTTACAAATGCCAATCGTTAACTGAAATGAAAATTGTGCTTCGTCCGATCGGTCATCTTACGATTGCTTGTGCGTTTTTCTGCATATAAACCACCTTATCTTGACACTTATGACTGCACCCATTACGTCAAATCTATCATACGACATAGAATTACTAGTTCTCAATATTTCACGTGTCAAGATATTCTGGTTTCTAAGTGTAATTCACAACAATTATCTTATTTTTTTTCAAATGAACACATAAGTGGTAACCTTGCATTCTTGATACTTTCTGTGGTCGGAAACAATTGTACCTACTTAGGTCACGCAATGAGCATTAACATTATTGTGGAGGGAAGAAAATAATGTATCCGTGAAAACAATTAAAATTACCTACAGAAGGAAATATATCTTAACACTGATGTTTAATTAATTATTAATGGATAGGTATAATGAATGAGGTCGAAGCCAGTTAGGATTCTAGGAGGCTAAGTAAAACAACAACAAGAATTGTTTTCACTCTCAACTTGATACGCAAATATAGATTTAGGATAGGTTACTGTTTGGTTTCAGAAGGATTCCACAGAAACAAAATTAAATAGGTCATCTAGTCACCGCAACTTGATTACAGTGTGTTTAATAAAACTTCACAGATACCTCCTTTATTGTATTAACGAAAATTCTACAGTAGCCAATTAAATAAGATCTAGTTTATTAATCTTTCCAATTCATCAT